TCAAAAAGAAACAGACTCTCACAAATAAAATATTGAAGTCTGAAGGAGCTTTCGAGACAACAGATGGAAAAGTTTACTTCACTGACCAACAGTTCATTATAGAACATCTCATTGACTTAGAGTCGAAATATTCTAAAACTTTACAACAAACACAAAAAGTTGAAAGGAAAACAAAAACAAATGGCATATGATATTTATGAAGATGTTGACACACAACTGTTCCTGCAAGTGAAGTAAAGTCAGAGAACCGAAAAGTGACGAAAAACCGATAGAAGAAGAAAACCAAAACTGAAGATAAACCAAAACCAAAGTTTAGTTCCAAACTAAACCAAGTCAACCTTCATTAGCTGGTATGGTTGGCGTCAAAGACTTATGGCAGCAGGCGGTTATGTAAAGTAAAGAAAAAATTTTATTTTTTATAAAAATGCCCCCATATAGAATGGACAGAAAGTTGCTAGAATAAAAGCAGAGTTGCAAAAGATATGGTTGGAGAGTTTCGAAGAATTTTAAATATAGGAAGGAAGACCCATAAAAGTCTATGACAAATTGTCTGGTCTTCGCTACGAAATGGATTTGGAAACAGCACGTGCAAATTATCCAAACAGACTAGAGAGGTTAGAAGAAGAACGTCTTATGGACATGCCTTTCGATGTTAGTGAACCTCAAGTTGAAGGACACGACGGCTTTGCCAGATTCTACTGGAAACATGACGAACAATTGCATCCTTGAGAAGGAAAAAAGGAAAAGGTGCAGACGCACATGCTCCCATGGAAAGAACAAGATATGCATATGAAAAGTATCGTGAAGTTAGAAGTCAAATTACATCTGGTCGAACCTTTACAGTAAACTTTGACGAAGGAAAGAACAAAGAAGGCTTCATGGGAGTACTTGCTGCCATACAAGACAGAAATAAGAAAGGACACAATCTCAGATTGACCATAACAGATTTGGATGGTCACATTTACTATGCACATGGCAATGAACAAACAGCCGCAAAACTTCTTGACGCTTTCAAGACTACAAAGAGAGAACAAATGGTTGACTCCGACTCAGACATTTTGAATGCAATTGAAGGAATTGCAAGTGTCAAGTTCGAATGGTACCAACCTAACCCTCAAGCAGTCAGACAACATGCTGGATACTTCCCGTTCATAAATAAGTCTGACATTGACTTGACAAGTATAAATTTACAATTCAATTGAAACAATTGTCAATGAACCTTGTTTCTTACATGTCTCAGGAACTCTGGTCTTGTTACAGATGAGAAGATGAAGTATCTTGATCATGTGTGAAGACAAGGTACATTCTCAGAGGTCAATTGGCAAAAATTGCACCGTTGGCAAATGTCAATATCCGAGTCAACATACCTACAGCTAAAGGTTCTTCACATGACGACTATGTTGTTGACAAAGACTTACCATGGTTGAAGATTGTAATGTCCACAACCACTTCATGTTGAACGAAAGTCTTACAAACCCATTCTTTGGTAAAAGTAAGTGCAACATTGTCAGAGCTGTAAACATTCTTTTCGAGAAAGGTTTGTTGTGGAACCAATTCCAGATGACAAGCTGACAGAAACTTTTGTACCAAAAGACGAAACAAACTTTTTCATTGTTAGCAAGACCAAAAGTTTTCCAGACAAAGTTCTAGTACAAAAGAAGTACACAGTTCCACAAGGGTTGGTATGTTCGGATACCAACCTGAACCAGAAAACTTCCAATGAGGTTGCAAGAACTTCAAGATGCTATAAACAACTTCCATTGAGACATCCAATTGACGTCAAATTGTATTGGAGAGCATCTGAGTTAGGTCAGAAGGTTTTATATGAAACAGGTTGCTTCGACGCTGTTTATGAGATAACAGGAGAAGTTTCTCAGAGATAAGAGACTCACTTGAATTTCCACAAACTGGACCAATTGTTGCGACAAGTTCGACTCAGATAAAAGATATACTATGTCGACCTTAACGCTGCATACATGAGGTTTGTCCAATATATTCCGACTGGAATTCCAAAACGAAGATGGTGAGTTCCCGGAAGGAACTATACAGTTGGAAAAGTCATACAACAACTGTATGATATTAGGAAAGCTTCAAACCCCAAACTTGCAATGACACTCAAATTGCTTATGAATTCGACATGGGGATATTCCATTAAGAAACCTCAAGAGATGAAGAGTAAACATTATGAGAAGGTCGACAACTTTGTTGAAAGGTTTTCTCCTTTTGTTTGAATACGAATTCACTCAAGGTCAAAGTGGCCTTAGTAACCACATTAAAACCTATTGTCGAACATTGGTCTTACCCTCAGTTCGCAAAGGCAGTCCTTGACGAGTACAACAAATTCTTCTCCGAAGTCAAATCCAAAGTGAAGGTTTACTATGAGAACATTGACGCACTCATGACGAACGAAGAAGGATACAACAAACTCATTGAAATGGGAATAGTCGGTGAAAAGATGGGCTGTTTTAAGCTAGATAAGGTATTTTCCGAAGTTCATGTAATATCGAAAAGGAAATATTGGGGCATACTTGAAGACGGCACAGAAATAAAACATTGCATGAAATAAAAAATTTATTTTAAAAAAGTGACATTTTTTTTATTTTATTTGAAATCTACGCTGAGTTTGTTGGAGAAGACCGTTGGGAAACTTGTTTGTTAGATGAGAAATATGAAATGGCATACCATTTTAAAACAATATATTTTTACATATATTAAATAGTCATGTGATTTTATCCCAAGCATATGGGGATTCTAAATTTTTGTCCCTATCGTTATCCCAATTGAATTTTTTTTTGGAATTTAAAAATTTTTTTTCTCCATGTAAACTTAAATTTTAATTTTTACCACTAAAATGCAATATTTCAACAAATTAATGAGTAATAATATTTTAATTTATAATAAATATTATAAATCTCCTCAATTTAATGTAATTATTGTATTAATTTTTGTTGAAAATATAAAATCTTCAAGTAAATGATGTGAATTTAATATTTTTAGAATGTTGTTTAATTGTACTATATTATGCATGTAAAATTTTGTTACAATACATTTTATATGGGATCCCCATTGCCCAATTGAGAGAAAATTGAGAGGTGGGATTGGGCTAGCCCAATTCAAAATATCCCAGGTGGAAATAAAAAAATTAACAATTCAACATAAAAAAGCATCTTAAATAATAATGATAAAAAGAAATTTTGTATGAATTTCAATCAAATTTGTTTTTATTCAACTTAAGAAATCACTTCATTAATGAAAGAAGTCGGGTTCACAACATATCCCGATCTTGAAACGAAACAACATGTTTTTTTGATGCCCTAAACGGGGGGTCGCCAGCAAAAAAAAGATGTCAAAATTTATCCCAAAAATTTAAAAAAAATCGAAGAAAGTGCATCCCAGGGATTATAAAATTTAAGTTTTCACATCTCTATATTAAATGCTTCAGGTTGAAAAACAAAGAACAAAAGTAGCAGATACAAAACCGTTAGACTATATCTTTACAAATGCTGGTAGGACTATTTCAGATGAAGAAATTTCATCCCGAGCATACAGGTTTGACTATCCAATTCGTTGGCTTCAAAGTCCTTCAGATGCAAAGGCAATAGGATTTAGAAGAGTTTTGTTTTCAAATAGAACTAACGCATTTATGTTCGCAGTATATTTTCATGGGCAGTATAAAGGTTCTGATGGTCTAATAGACAAATTTGACGAAATGAGAATCTTTACAATTCGTTCAGACGAAAGTCTTGAGAAAACTCTAAATGACTTTCAAACTCAAATGAACAAATATTATTGGGAATTTCAAAAAAATACGACTCTTTACTAAATGGAACATACTATCTGAAACTAGAATATGACAAGATGAACTCCACCGTTTCATTTCAAAAGATTGAAATTAACCCTCCAAGAGATACAGAGTTTTTATTTTGGGAAGTAGACAAACGTTCTTGGGCACAATTTCTTCGGTTACTAAACCAGAACGAACCATTACCACCAGATGGTCCATTTAAATTTATACTTCCACCAGCAGATTTGATGGTTTATAGAAACGTGTTTGACCCTCAAAATGTTATGTGTCATGCAAGTTTCAGTTCAAGCAACAATAGTTTTCTATGTATTGGTAAGGACTTTTATGACTTTGCTTCTAAATTCTACGAACCATCTAGTAACAGTTTCTCTGACTTTCAAGTTTGGTTCACAACAAATGGTGTGCAACATATTATTCCATTGTACTATGACTTTTATCTCGAATTGTCTTTCATATATAACTACGGAAAAGTGCTGAAAAAGTATTGAATGTGAAGATATTAGAAAATAACATTTTTTCTAACATCGTAGAAAACTCATGAAAACAATTTATTTTTGACACTTTCACAAAAAACATAAAAAAAGCGAGTTAAAATGAGATGTTTACTGAACTGGCTGAATGTCACCTTCTGTAGTTATGTAGAATGGTTGACCAGAGAAGTGAAGGAGACCCTTGAGAATTTGGTTCATTCTTGGGAAAGAGTTCTCTCTGTTTGGAAGTAGTATCCAAGGACGCTTGGCAAAGAACTTTATAATGGCTTCCTTCTTTGCTTGCTTTATGTCGTCGTAGGCTGTCCCGTCTGGTATTTGAATTGGAATTCCAGTCGAAGTCTCGAGATTCAAGGCAGCCCTTCCCGTTATCCAACCGTTAACAAGCTTGCCTTTTACATTCTGCCTGAGGAAGTCTTTAACAAGCTCGTTAATTTCAATTAGGTAAATTGCCTCGTCGGTAGGTTCGACCTCGACCATTGCTACTGTCAGAAAAAGTACTGCTACTGTCAGTAAAAGTACTGCTAGGAGCAGAAAAACTACTGCTACTGTCAGTAAAAAGGAAAATTTGAGAGGGTTTTCGACGATAAAGTACTGCTACTGTCAGTAAAAGTACTGCTACTGTCAGAAAAAGTACTGCTACTGTCAGTAAAAGTACTGCTAGTAGCAGAGATTTTTATCGTTGTGGTCCGACAGGACACAAACGAATGTCCGACGTCCCACCAACCGAGTCCATTCCCAAACCAGAGGAACCTAAAGAACCACAACAGTCTCCTCAGCAACCTCAGTTCCAGCAAGTACCTCCGAATTACTACCAATTTCCACCTCAAGGTTACTACCCACCACAAGGCTTCCCGAACTACCCTCCTCAGCCTATGCCTTACTGCCCCAACCCTTGGATGTTTATGCAAAACCCTGCCCCACAATTCCAATTCCAATCTCAGTCCAAGAGAGACCAAGACTTCGAAGAAGGTCTGAACCGCTTACGCAAAGAGTATGCTACAGCTCCAATTGAGAGAAAGTTGTTCCCGGACCAAAAAATATAATTTAGGTGAAGAGGTTAGATCTAACCTCATTTCTAACCCGATTTCTACCCTCTTGAATTTTCATGAATTTTATATATTAATGTTTTCGTTAAGCCACTTTGTGCTGTCAGTCAGTCAGTCAGTCAGTCAGTTTAGGAAAGACTTTAGAAAGTTGTTGGAAAATAAGTCCTGGGAAGAGAATTATAAGGCATTTTGTGAAGAATATAGCAACCGCCGGAATTCAGACGGTTGCTTTTTATACAAAATTCATGCAGGAAATTCTTGAGTTTTGGTTGAAAGAATACGGTGGAGCCAAAAGTGGCTCGACCTCAAAACAAGCATTTTATGAGCTTACTAAGGGCGTTATGAATGAATTCAAATGTATTTACATACATCCTGACCTCGTTCATTTTGTTGCTGAATTCAGCAAAAATATAATTTAGGTGAAGAGGTGAGATTTCACCTCTTTTTTCACCTGTTTTTTCACCCTCTTGAATTTTCATGAATTTCCTTAAGATAGAAAAAATAAAGTTAGTTTTATTTTTATTTATTTTTTTATTTTGTATGTAAGAACAGATATGTCAACAATCGGCACAACAACAATTCAAACAACTACAGCACCAAACTCGTTAGTCATGAATCCAACATCTATGTTAGTAGAAATGAAAAGCTTCATTCCTTCTTCATTTACTTTCGAAACAGAAATCCAGAAGATAAAGCAGGAACTTTTAACAAGTAATTTAGACTGTAGTGCGAAAGATGAAACAAATGAACAGTATCTTTATGAAATGGAGGACCTCATCGACCATTTGCCTAAACTACCTGAAATTCAGCAGCAAAAGCTCACTATTCCTGAATTCGATGAAATAGAAGTCAAAGCAACTGACTCAGTAGAAATAAAGAAGTTCATACGAAAGGTAAATTATGAATTCCTTGGTTTTCATTGCAACCATAAAGTTATGGACAAAGATTGCGACATGGTATATAAGAACATCTCTGACATATATAAATCTGGGGAGTTTAAGACATACGACAACTTTGTTTCATTAGCTGCAAAATGTGTATGGCAGATAAGAGATAAAGATAGAAGAGGTAAGGTATGGCATGAACAGATAAAACCAACTGCTTCAGATTTAAAGAAAACCATTGACGCCTTGGTTGTTTTAGCAGGTAAGGTTTCAGAATATAACGCAAAAATGAACCCGCAATGTTCTAAATGTAAAGCAGCAATGAGGAGATATAACTACTCCGTCAAAGAGATAGAAAGAATGAGAAACGACTATGCAGATTTAAAGAAAGAAGCAGAGAAGCCGGTAGAAAATAAAATGGACATATTAGAATTTCTGAACAAAAACTATCCAACTGCTGACGATTTCCTTCTATCTGACGTCAAGAAGAAGTATAAAGAAACTTTCGGCATTGTTAAAACATTCGATGTACTAAAAGAAGAAATAGAAGCTACGAAACTGTTTAGGATTTCAAATATACATCGTACAATTCATGTAAAACGCTTGTGAAAAAAAGAGGTGAAAAATGAGGTGAAAAAAGAGGTGAAATCTCACCTCTTCACCTAAAATATATTTTTATTGAATTCAGCAACAAAATTCTGAGTAAAATGGCATATGGCATGTGTCAAACCGTTGAGTTTTCACAAAATTTAAAAAATAACGTTTACCATGTGAAACGTTTATAAAATAACTGGGGTAGAAATGAGGTGAAAAAAGAGGTGAAATCTCACCTCCTCACCTAAACATTATTTTTATTGAATTCAGCACAAAAATCATGAATTTCCTTAAGATAGAAAAAATAAAGTTAGTTTTATTTTTATTTATTTTTTTATTTTGTATGTAAAGACAGTAATGTCAACAACAGAGAACACAACAACAGTTATAGTCCATGAAGCTATAAATGAAGAATATGAGTGGGTTCGGTTTAACAAACAACTCCGTCTCATTCGTTCGGTCAAAGACGATATGTACCAAATGCAAAGTATTTTGACAGCATGTTTTGCACCCGACAATAAGAAACCACAAGACTGGTTTAGGAACCAAAGCACTATTGAACTATTAAATGAAGCTGAAAATTCGACTACGAGAAATCCCGTAGTCGCCAAAACTCTATGAAAATCGTGAAAAATTGCCAAACGGTTTGAGAGGATATTATGTACATAGACTTCTTGTAAATGCTGTTGCAATGTGGGCTTCGCCTCGTTATGCTTGGTATATTTACAGACTTCTTGACGAAATTCATAGACAAGAACGTGAAGAGATGGAAAACAAGCTTGAAGCAAAAGACAAAAGCATTCAGAAAAGAATACCACGTTCGGTACCAAAAGGTAAGGAAAAGAACTATAAGTATATGATTTATACTGAAGAGATGGAAAATGAAGAAGATAAAGATATGGTTATGTTGCATTTAGTCAGAAGAAACAACAAAAGCTTTTACGACCTTGCTAAGATTTACAAATCTGACAGAAATTGGTTCTATCGCGAAAACTTACCGATTTCAATGACCCCAAATGAAGATGTGAAACAAATAGTTCAAGATACGTTACCTCAAACACACTATGATATGAAAGGTTGTACAATTTTTACCTTCAAAGAAGACTTACCGCTACAGAAAGAAAAAATAACAGAGTATTTTGACAACTTCAAACAAGTAGGGTAGATGAACCATTTATTTTTATTGACTTTTTACAATTTGAACTTTGTTTGCGTAGATATGAATTCTGAAAGAAGTATGAGGGTCTTGTATGACTTTGTACTTCTCCCATGGTTCATGTCTGTCAAACTTACCTGCCATGGACTCTTTCATAAGTTCCATGAAATCGTCTTCGGACAATCCGGGGAAAAGTATTATGTCAGTAAGTATTCTTTTAACATCCTTACTTAAACTCTTTGCTGTCTGTACACAAATGACAACTGAGATGTTAAAGTGTCTGAGCTTCTTAAGAATTCGACACATATCTTGTTCTCTGTTCTTTAACAAAGGATGAGAAGCAAAGTCATCTAAGATAAGAAGACATCTATGAGGGTAAGTCTTCCAATCGTAAGATTGCAATTTCTTCGAAATGTATTCTATCTCTTTCTGTTTGTTTCTGAAGTGTTTCTTCTCTAATATTCTCTGCATTTCCTCATTTGGGTCTTTAAACTTAGAATTTATATACTCATTTATAGCATTATACTTCAAAACTCTTCTTTGGTACTTCTTTATCCAATCTAACAACTCAGTATCCTTTATACATACTAACTTAGACTTCTTTATAATATCTTTGAACGAATTGACGGTTTGGTCAAATTGACCAGAAGTACTACAAATGACTACTAACTCATAGAATGGGTTCTTCTCATCTAGTTCTTGTTGTTGTGCAGCCATTTTAAGATAAGTGAAAGTCTTACCAGACCCAGGTGGTGCAATTAGACCTGTTATACCATTCTGAGCAAATAAGAACTTGTCATGTATAGGCTTTATCTGAGCATTTTCTAACTTCCTCTTGTTCTTGTTTAAAACATTCTCAAATTTCTTGTCAATGTCAGCAAACTTTTTTTCTAACATATTTTTAGAAAAATTAAAACTTTTATCTTTTAGAAAATGTCTAGCGATTTCGCTATCTATATTCGAGACAAACTTTTTGACAGCAAAACATCTGTCGACCATAAAATCTTACATAGTGTAAAAAGAAAGGTGAATTTGTTCTAAAGTTCTGTTTCTGGGAATATGACAAGAACCATAAAACATTACAAAGAGCAGTCTTAAAATTTGTCAATGACAGACTTGTTGACAGAGATGACGCCGATTGGAAAGATGAAGTCCAACAAAAGTTCTTAGAATGCAAAGAAGACACATGCGCTGTTCTTGAAGATGAAATAGAAAACAGAATAGATGAGCTATTAAAGGATAAAGAACTTTTACATAAATATAGTTGCGCCAAATTTGACATAACTCCACCAGAAAAGAAGAAGAGAGAAAAGAAAGAAAAGAAAGTAGAAGAAGAGAAGAAAGAACCTGAACCAGTTCCAGAGAAAAAGAAATTTGACATGTAAAAATAAAATTTTATTTTTAGAACATTTCTGGGTCAATGTCAATGTTCTCTTCCTCTTTAGGAGTAAACACTGGCTTAGACTCTAAAATCTTTTTACCCAATTTACCTTGAACTTCAACTATCTTAGACTCATAATATTCATAGTCGTCTGCTTTCTTTGGTTCATAAGGTATAACAAGTTTGTATGCTTTACCTTCTTCGAGTTTTGAGAACTTTCTGTCAAAATTTTCTTTGACTGTCAACATACCGTCAATGTATAAGTCTTCAAAAGTTGCACCACTTTTTCTAACAACAGCAAACTTAACTGGTGCAATGTTCCAAATTTTGTCAAATGTAGACTTTTCAAAATTGTAGAAGTAAACATTCAAATATGCGAATGGAGCTAACTTATCTTTGACTTCTGTCATGTACTTATTTACTGAGATGAATTTCGTCATCTTTTCTATCGGATAAAAAAATATTTTTTTTTTAAAATTTACTCAGAAAAATTTTTCTTTGTATATACACCATTCTGAACATCTAAAAGACTTTTGACATTTGCCAAGAATGTTCGTTTAGAAGCTGCCATATAACCATATTCTTGACAATATTGTTTATACGAATCGTACAATGACCTTTCATCTAATGACACAAAGTCAGTTTCATCTATGAACAGTTCATATACACTCTTGTTTGCTTCTAACAATGTTTGTCTCTCTTCTGTATGTGGAATTTGTCTTGGATTGAACTTAGAAATATCTAATGTCATGAAATATGAGAACAAGTGGTTGTAAAAGTCAGATGTCAAAGTTTCTGCTAAGTCGTCAAAATATTCTGTATCTTGCATATGTGAATCTGACGTTCTGACAACTACATATCTTCTGTCAGAACTTTCTAACTTCATCGGAACAGCATTGTTTGAAACCATAATGAAGTTTGCAACATTTTCACAAACTCTTTGGTCTTTATACTTTCTTTCAACAACTCCAACTTTATCTGTTATAAGACTCTTCAAAGCATCTGATTTCAAAACTTTTGTTGTATCTATACTTTGAAGTTCATTGCAAACTATAAGTTTCATATTCTCTATTGAGGAGTTAAACTTGCCACAGATGTTTTCTAAGTTTGTCATATTAGGGTTCGAATAACCTTCTAACAGTTTGCACAAAATATCTGTAAAGAAAGTATTCTTACCAGTTCCTTGTTTTCCAATTATAATGAGAGCAGTTTCATTCTTAGCACTTGGATGTTGTAAGATGTTTGCAAACCAACATAAGATATACTCATAAACCTTTTCGTTTCCATTGCATATAATTTCTTTGACATGGTCTAACCAAGCTTCTATAATATTTTCTTTCCATTCTACTTGTTCATATTTATATCCAGTGAAGATAGAATAGAAGTTTGGAGAAGGTGTATAAAACTTTATACCACGAACTGAAAAATCTTCTAACTTTGACAATAAGATATCCCAAGCATCTAACATCTTCATGCCAACTTGTACGACTTTTTTTTTCTTAAGTTTCTGTCTACATTCTTGTTCAGACACTATTGTTGCTCTTGGTTTGTTAAAGACAACATCCCATTCTTTCATGACATAACATTCTGGGGCAGAGTCAACATAAATGACTAAACGTTTCAAATTCTCGACTGCTTTGTTATAGTCTCTAAATGGACACATATTTCTGAATGCTTGGAAGTCATAAAAATCTGAAACATCTATTCTGTACATTTTTATAAAAATAAAAAAAATATTATTTTTTTATTCTTGACTTTGTTGTTGCATTTGTTGTTCTTGAGCTATTTGTTGTTGAAGTTGTTCTTGTAATACAATACTTTCACCAGTTGCATCTTCCAATTCGAAACTTTCTGCCGTCATTGACAAATACATAGGACATAAAAGTTTTACAGGAACAAAGTTTGCGTCAACTAATGTCAACGTTATACTTGCCAAAGTGTTTGAGTTCACTAAGGTTGAAAATTCTGCATTCGAATAAACAATAGGCAAACCAGCAGAGAAAGTATTGTTTATACGCATAAGTATCTTTTGGTCATAATAGTTTCTGTCGACATTCGAATAACACTTTGAACCTATGTTTGAAACAATATATAAGATTGGTGTGCTTAATGTCAATGGAATAGACATTCCTTGTATGACACCTTTTCCTGTTATAGGAAACTGTTGGTAGTAAAAACCAGAAATAAGTTTTGTATTATAGCTCATATCGTTTATAGTAAACTCAGTCGGACATCCAAACATAATGAAACCTGCTCTAGTTGCAGCACATGTTACACCCGTACTTAAAGTATTAAATAAGTCAACAAAACCTGTTGGTGGTATATCTGAGTAAGTATCTTCAAAGGAGTATTTTTTACCATTCACAACAATAAAGTCTTCTGGTGTCAAAAGAGCAAAACAGGCTTTAGTCGTCATTGTGTTTAAGGTTAGTTTACAATACCGTCCTTGAGGACTTTGTAAGTTTGTTGTTATAGAATTATATGACTCGGGGTTTTTAGTCGTAATAGTATAAACCATTATGTCTTCTGCCATTTACTTAGCAAATAAACTTTAATGAAATGTTGTGGTCGTCAAATATTTTTATAACGTCTGGGAAACTATATTTTAAGTTCAACGTTTCACCTCCTTTCATAACGTATATCTTGTCAATGACATTATATGAAACACCACAGCAACTAATGTCGGGTTCTATTTCTTTGATGTTTATATCGTCTGCCTCTGTCAAAAGTTTCAATAGTTCTTTCAAAACTTCATGAGGTGCAATGACATATGAGTTCACTTTTACAGGGTTGTGTTCGACCAAGTTTAACATTATACTTAAAGCTTGACAAATCTTCTCCTGAGTTTGAAGTTTGTCTTTCAGTTGTTGGTAGTCGTTTCGAATATCTGCAACAGAACTTAAGTCTCTGTTAACTTCAGGATATGTTGGTTCTTTTACAGGAACAATTGTTATACCATTTTCGTCTTCGTATGGTTTCCCCACTTCAACATCTCTGTCTTTGACATTGACAACAACACTTTGACTGTTTGTTTGAGTTGGTGAATTTAACTTCACATCTGCCACCGCCATTAAACCTTTTGAAACACTTACGCTTCTATTTTTCGGAAATGACATTTTACTTAGAATAAAAAGATGGACGTATTCGGATATCTTATTGAATTGAAGCAGAACAAAGTTTATACTCACAAACAATACAAATACATTGACAGAATAGTTCTTTACACAAACAATGGAAAATGTTATAGAATAGCAGTCTTTGCTGAACCTAAATATTTTCATAAAGCAAAGAAAGTTGGTATAACTGAAATGGTGAAAGTTCTTGAAGCAGACAAAAATATAACTTCAAAACTGACCGATATTACTAAAGGAAAGTTTATAATACAATATTATGTCAAAACTGGCGTACTGTCAATATTTGACGGAGAGAAGTCAGTTCAAGAACAACTTACTGACCTGCTGCCAAAATCTGCTCGATGGAAGCTGTCGTTATGCCAATCTGAGGAGCCCCAGCAGGTTTCATCGAACGAATCTTCAAAAGAGCATCTTCCGTGAAAAGTGCTATTGGTTTTGTAAACTTCTTTGCTCTCAATTCATCTGGACCGTCTCTGTCACCAGTATATTGTATTTGTACTGTACCAACAGTTGAAATACCACCCATAAAGTCTTCTGAGTCAGCAAATGGAATGCCAAGCCAAAAGTTTGAACGGTCTCCATTTGTATATTGAGTTTTTTGACCTCCTGTATGAGTCCATACTTTCACATATGGCATAATAGAACTTTGCATTTCAGGGTTAATGGTTGTTGTGAAGTTGTTGTTAAAGTTCATAGCATCTAATGTCAAGTTGTATGACCTCATATCCTCAACTGTAGAATATTCTTCTCTTGGATAATATTTGCCATCTATGTTTATATGATATTTAATACCAGGGTTGTAGAAACAAGAATAGTCATTTATAGTTCGTCTGAACAGTACAAACATAGTATCTGCATGTTTCATTGCAGTTGTTAAAGCAATATCTGTTCTTGCACCTTCGGCTCCTGGATTTTGGTTTCCAACTTCACCTGCAAAGTCTTTGACAGATATTTGGTGTATAGGGAACATAAGTGGAACTGCAATATATTTGGCAGCTAAAGCATTTGAAATATCTGGGTCCAACATATAAACGGCAAGTCTGCTTTCTATTCTCTTGCATTCAAACTGTTCGCATGTGAACTTAACTGGGTCCCAAGCATCTCCAGCAGCATTGAAATAATAGTTTACTTCAGTGTTGAGGTTTGAGAAACCAAAGTCTAAGTCAACTTTGTCTTTGCAAAATTCGGCGAATGACGTTTTATTTGTTCCCTTTACGTCTGTAAGAGTGAATGGGTCTTGTGTTGGTGCAATGACTAAGTTATTTTTGCTTGGAGTAAGTTCGATAGAAATTTTTCCTGCCCAGTTTGGCAAGTATCTTAAAAACCTGAAGATGAGGAAAGATGACAAAGGAACTCTAAGTTTCAGTTTTACTTTAGTGGCAGCAGTTCCATCTGAACCAGAAAGGTTAACATAAACTCCTGGAACGTTAGGGTCAAGTCTTCTTATTTTCTCAATAGTTGCATACTGGTCTGTTTGTTCTCTAGCTTGTGGTTGTACTGAGTTTCTCAAAGCGAACCATTCATAGTTTGCCCATGTTACTGTTTGAACTAAGTCAGAGTTAGAATATATCTTATATCCCATGAAAACTTCTGGAGCATATTGGTATCCGACATAGAAAATTCCATTGCAACCTTTCTTGTCAGACAACTTGGCAGAAGGTTTTATTTCAATGTCTTGTTCCACGTATAAGAATGAGTTGTCAATAGAAATAATATGAAACCTGTCGCAAGCAATATCTACTGTTGTTGAAGAACCTTCTCCAAACTCACCTACGTTTCCATAAGAAACAGCAGTTGTATATTCGTAAGTTCCAGGAACTATTTCTGACCTTCTAATGGCATTGTCGCATTCGTTATACCATTCGGAAACATTTCCGTTCATGGCATCCAAAACTGTTGGCGTTATATTCTGAGCGGCGTGTTGTAAACAGAAATTCATCAAAAGTGACACCTCAGAAAAGCTAAAATATTGAATTTTTGGAACTTTTGATAGAGCACGTTTTTAAATATTAATTAAAGTAAATGTATATTTTGTAAAGATTCTTTTTAATAAAAAAATAAAATTTTGAAGAAGAACACAAAATCTTCTGAAAAATAATATCACATAAACTCATATTATTTTCTAATATATAACTATTTTATATAAAAATCAAATTCAATGATCTTAAAAGCGAAGGATAAACCTCAAAATTTACGAATATAATGAGTGGTAATATAATGCTTATCTATCATAAAACCATATGAAATATCAATTTTTGCTTTACGCCTAATTTTTGACGACAATTAGCAAAAAATGTTAAATGTTAACCTCAGTCCATTTGAATATGAAAAATAAAATTGATATTTCATATGGTTTTATGATAGATAAGCATTATATTACCACTCATTATATTCGTAAATTTTGAGGTTTATCCTTCGCTTTTAAGATCATTGAATTTGATTTTTATATAAAATAGTTATATATTAGAAAATAATATGAGTTTATGTGATATTATTTTTCAGAAGATTTCATTCTATATGCCTATGAAAAGTACTCTCAAAACTAACTTTTTCCTAATTATAATTAAATCTAGAATATTGTATTATGCTTAGTATTATTTCATTTTTCTCGTTCAATTTAGAATTTACAAATGTCAAAAAATTGAGAGCCGGCACTTTTGATGAATTTCTGTTTATTACAGGCGTACATTTCATATGGGTAAAAATATAGAATAGTTGGATTTATATATCATAATAGAACCCACTCGGACCAAGCTTTACTTTCTTCCTGACTGAGTTTTTAACTCTTCTTTTTCCTTCATTGCCACTACTTTCACTAGATGAAGTTACTTCTTCACTACTTTCACTTTGTTCTACTCTTCTCTTCTTCTTTGGTGTCGCTTTTGGTAACTTGCCCTCTGCTTCAAGTTGTTGCATCTTTGCCTCATGTTCACCTAGTATGTTGTAAATTTCCCATGTCCTTTTTGCCTTTGGGCTCTGGTCGCCCATCTCAGGTAACCATATCCTAGAAAGATTTTGTCATAGTTTGTATTTGAGTCTTCGCTTATTGTTTGCATGACTCTTTCCTGAGTTTCCGGTTCAAGCTCTTCAAACAGAGCTTGTCCATATGGAATAAGCTCGTTTCCAAATATATGTTTTTGTAGCCATTCTGGTTTTCTTTCCATGTTACCAATAATATCTTTTGTGAATGGGAAAGCTTTTACCCAACGTTTCAGTCTTGCGTCATTTATTTCTGTAGTTGGTTTTATTTTGTCAAGGAACATGTTTTTCAATACTAACATTTCATTTGGTACTGTCCATTTGAATTTTCTTAAATATTCATCCCTTCTCGGTTCATTGTCTGCAAAGTAAGTTTTTATGACATTTTGCAAACTTTCGTTTGCAAGGTCATGTACAATAGGTTCTCTTCCTTCTCTCTCCCTAACTTTCTTTCTAAACTCTTCACCAAATATACCATCTCTATGGTTCTGTGTAGTTCTTTGAGATAAATGTTCTAGAACGTCAGGTGTTATATTTCCATCAGCCATGTTCATTTCATACTGGTCCAAAATATCTGCATCTTTCATATCTTTCAATGGCATTAAAGCCGCGCTGAAAATACCAGCTATATCTGGTTCACCATTCACTTCCATTGCGTCTACAACTTCTTGGAATTGAGGTTGTAAGTTTATGAACCACCTATCCGGATTAGCTTTATGACCCCATCTCATTGTAGTTCCATAGTCTGCAGAAACAAAAGTAGGTTTGTTTCCATATTGGTTAGGTTCTGAATGAACTTTAAACAATGTTTCATTTCTATATGTTTTGTTGAAATTTAACCTTTTATTTTCACCGAGTTCAGCCAAAGATTGAACGTTATATGGTCGTAAGTAAAAAGGATTATTGTATTTGCGTACATTTTCTTTCAGTACTTCCATTCTATGCTGAATATTTTCATCTGATGTTGGAGTCTTTTGTATGTCGGCGAACATTTTTCGATATTCTTCTACTATGTCAGCCGAATTTTTCTTAGACTCTTGGAAAGATTCCATATTCTCCGCATACACTTGTTGAGGGTCAAGATTTTTCGGCTGTTCCAAATCTTCATCTAGTTCTGTGAAGTTAGTTTCCAAAGGAGGGACTTGTTCGTTTCCTTCAGGCTCTTCTAGCTGTTGTTGCTGAACTATTTCTTCCATGTCTGGTTGTATCTGAACTTCTTCCTGTGGAGTTTCTTGTACCTCATCTGCTGGCATTTCATATATTCCGAGACCGTTTTTAAAAAGTTCCCTATCTAAGTCATCCGGACTCATAAACCTTTCTTCTTTCGTTCCGTCTCTATTTTTTACGCGTTTCATGAAGAGAGTTGAATTATCATTTAGCTCTGACACCAAATATCTCGGAGTAAATTCATCCATGTCATTTGGATGATATGCTATTAAATCATATCCCTTAGCGAGCTTGTATTTTCCAGGTTTGAGATTATATCCCATTTGATGCTGAACCATAAAGCTAAATAGGTTCGGGTCAGTATTTCCTTCCTTGAACTTTCTAATAGCTTCTTTATATCTGTCACTAAAGTCAAGAGTATCTGAGTAACCATAATCTTCCTTAAGCATTTTTAAGAATTCTTGGTTTCCTTTTTCTCTACTTCTTTTATGTCCTTGCTCTGGTTGTGGTGCAGGTGCAGGGTTTTGAACTGTTGGTTGTGGTGCTGGATTTTGAACTGTTGGTTGCTGTGTTGGTTGTTGTTGTTGTGTTGGATTTTGAACTGTTGGTTGTTGTGCAGGGTTTTGAACTGTTGGTTGTTGTGTTGGTTGTTGTTGTGGTGCTGGATTTTGAACTGTTGGTTGTTGTGTTGGTTTTGGTGCATGCCTGTGTCTGTGTCCATGTGACGATGTAAATGTTTTAGGTAGTCCTGGTGCAGGTGCTTCTCTTGGAGGGTTTGGTGGTATATAAGTTCCACCAGCTGGCACATATGTTCCATCTGCAGCATAATGTCCTACCTGACTTTTCGTTCTTAAGAAAGCATTTACTAGGTCTGTTTTGGTCTGTTGTAACTCTTTTTCTTGACTTTCCACAACAGTTGCTCTAACGGCGTCATAGGCACTTTGAACTGCCTGTCTCGTTGCTGCATCTGTTATTTTCGTCATATTTTGTGCTACTTCTCTTAACTCGTTGTCGAAACCTTCAGACTTCAGTTTCTTTCCAGATGAGAAGTCGTTCACTAGTTTCACCTTACTATGAAGAGCTTCGAAGGCATTCTTAAAGTCAGCATTCATTAAAGCTTCATTTGAACTGTCTTCATCCGCTTGTATTTTTGTCCTTATTGACCCTATAAGTTGGGCTGCTTTAGCGTTGGCTTGGGCATCTAACCAGTCATTATTAGCTTTTATATATTCTGCACTTTTCATTGCCTTTTGCATGGCTGCGTCGTTATTTTTACTTTCTTGTGCTAAGTTTTCATACTGTACGGTTTGGTTTTGCAACTGTAAAAGTTTTTCTGCCTTTACATTTGCTTCAACTTCTTTTTTATACTCATCGCTATCCATATATGTCTTCAGGGCTTTTTGTTTTATTTCTTCATCTTTCAGTACTTTATATTGAGTAGTATGGTTTTTCAAATTTATAACATCTTGTTCCATTTTTGCTACTTCTGCTGCTTTTCCTGACACTTTTTTCGCATATTCCTCTGTACTTAGTTCTTTCAGTTGTTCTTCTTTCTTCTTTTTCTCTACGTTTAACTCATTGAGTTTCTTTGTGTGTCTGTCATATTCTAGTTTCTTTTCGTTTTCACTTATTTGTTTCTGTATGTCTATGTTTGACTTTTTGACATCTGTTATTTGATTTTTGAGTGAACTCAAATTCATTTGACTTTGAGGGTTATAAGCTGTTCCGTCTGCAGCTCCACCATAGCCTGCCATTTTCGCTAAAAGTGCCGCTCTTAAACCTCCACTCTGTGCACCAATAACTCGGTTTAAAAGCATAGGGTTGCTTGACATTTGTTGCAACATAGTGGGGTCATTCATCATTTGTTGTTGCAACTGTTGTTGTGGTGTCAGTTTTACTATTGGATGTTTCAATGCTCCCTTCCTCTTACGTATATTCTTACGTAGCTTACGTGACATTTTAAGTGAAGTAAAAAACGGTTTTTGACAGATGTTTATATGACACTTTTTGTTCAGCACAAAAAACTACTCGGTCAAAGTGTTGTCAGTTTTGTAAAATAACCGTCCTATCTCATTCTATAAGGGGGAAAGGCTTCTCAAAGTATACTTCCTTGGAACGCCTGTAACTTTTCCTGTAGCGACGATAGACCCTTACTTGTCCGGACAAAGTTATACTATTTTGAGTGCTCTACAAAAAAGTCAACGGCTGGTCGGCTGGGGTTCGGTCCTCCTCTTGGGTCTTGGGCAAAATTTCTTATGGGCTAGAGGGCGCAACGCGCCTGGAAGCCCCACTACCTTTTTTTTATATATTATTTTTCATATGTATTGTTGTAAACAGAAATTCATCAAAAGTGACACCTCAGAAAAGCTAAAATATTGAATTTTTGGAACTTTTGATAGAGCACGTTTTTAAATATTAATTTAAGTAAATGTATATTTTGTAAAGATTCTTTTTAATAAAAAAATAAAATTTTGAAGAAGAACACAAAATCTTCTGAAAAATAATATCACATAAACTCATATTATTTTCTAATATATAACTATTTTATATAAAAATCAAATTCAATGATCTTAAAAGCGAAGGATAAACCTCAAAATTTACGAATATAATGAGTGGTAATATAATGCTTATCTATCATAAAACCATATGAAATATTCCCACTCATTATATTCGTAAATTTTGAGGTTTATCCTTCGCTTTTAAGATCATTGAATTTGATTTTTATATAAAATAACTATATATTAGAAAATAATATGAGTTTATGTGATATTATTTTTCAGAAGATTTCATTCTATATGCCTATGAAAAGTACTCTCAAAACTAACTTTTTCCTAATTATAATTAAATCTAGAATATTGTATTATGCTTAGTATTATTTCATTTTTCTCATTCAATTTAGAATTTACAAATGTCAAAAAATTGAGAGCTGTCACTTTTGATGAATTTCTGTTTATTACAGTATAAATCATATAATCTATATCTATGCAAATCTCATCTAAAATTTTTTGAAACAAACCGCTACCATTTTATAATGGTCCATCTAAAATTCATCATAAATTCTGGTACATGTGAGTACCAGAGTCTTCAAATCTCAAACACTCTGGTACCAACATGTACCAGACGCGAGTTTCCAATGCCCTCGTACGATTTTCTATTAAAATCTTCTTGAATCAGAAGGTCTTCATAGAAACTCGTACGAGGGCTTCTCTTTTAAATACTCTGGTACCTGCTGGTATCGGAGTCGACTTTACAGCCCTTTCCCCAATTTTGAAGCTGGGGAAAGTTTTCAAGCAATGAAAGGGAAGCTCTCGCTATGAAGTGAAAATCTAGAATTTTTACCTCATAGCGAGTAATCCTTTGTTAATTGCTTGAAAACTTTCTTCAAATTATCAAAATTTCGAGGAAAGTTTCCTTGCTTCAAAGTAGAGATGGAGCCCTTTGAGCCACTGCATATAGGTCAGTGACTCAAAATACTCCATCTCTACTAGAAATCGCCAAAATTTGGGTCGCAATCTTTGAAATGCGACGCAAATTTTGGCAATTTCGCGAAGGACTTGCTCCATTTGGTGCATAGATTCACACTCTATGCACCAGATGGAACAATTCTTTCGCTGACAGCGGGAAACTTTGTCTGAATAGTTTAACATTCAGACAAAGTTTTCCGCTGTCAGAGAGGGAATGGAAGGGTAAGAGGTATATATTCATAATGTATACCTCTTACTCTTCCATTCCCTCAAGAAAGTTCAAAAACTTGGGTGCAATCAGTTCTGATTGCACCCAAGTTTTTGAACTTTATATAAGGAATTGTTGGCTATGATGTACTGATCATGAATCAGTACATCATAGCCAACAATTCCTTCGCAAACAGTGGGAAACTTTGTCTGAATAGTTTAACATTCAGACAAAGTTTCCCGCTGTCAGGGAGGGAATTAGAGGGTGGGAGATATATAGATAGACTATAAATCTCTCACCCTTTAATTCCCTCAAGAAAGTTCAAAAACTTGGGTGCAATCAGAACTGATTGCACCCAAGTTTTTGAATTTTGTATAAGGAATTGTTGGCTATGATGTACTGATCATGAATCAGTACATCATAGCCAACAATTCTACCTTTTAACCAAAGATAATTGATTCGTATGTAAAATATTAAGCTAAAATTTCTCTTTCTTTTAGTACACATTCTTCCATTTCGTGTACATGTATCATATATTAAGTACTAGTTATCTATTCTATATCCTTTATCCCAATTTAGATACTCAAAGATAATTCTTTTTCAGAAGAAAAAAAATATTTTCTATTAAACCGTTATTTTTTCAATGTGAGTTTTCAATTTTATTTTTCCTTTTTGCTGCTCAATGCAACATCCTCCACCCGATCCTCCATGCGAGGTTGATCAAGCCATAGGATATTTAGAATATTCTCGTTTTGTTATAGCTGCAGAGCTGCATGGTAACATAAGATTTGTCAAAGACCCACAAAAACTATCAATTGGAACAGGAGTATTAATCTACCACCGATGCGAATACGAAGGCTGCCCAGCAGGCTTTAAATTTATTAAAAATTTCGACAATTACATTTTTAAATCTGCAAACTTAACTCATATTCACTCAGGACCACCACCACAACATAAAAATACACCTACAAGTGGTACTTACCGTGCTTGGATTAAAAAATTTCTCATGAATCACGGAAGTCCACTTAATGCAACACAAGAAGTCAACAAAACGCTTGAAATACCTAAAGATCATACTTGTATTCACATGACTATGAAACAAACTGCAATCAATCAATTGAAATATTATTTACAACAAAAAGATCTTATGAGATCTTTACCAGACATATCTTTAAATCAATTTCAATCTTTACAAAACTATGTTAATCAATGGGAAGATCAACATGATGACCTTATTTATTTTGACATTCAAGGTGAAGATACTGATTTTCCAGACAAATTGGTTTTTATTTACTCTGATAATGATATGATCTCTCAAATTCATGAAAAACCACCAATTTATCACTTAGACTCTACGTTTAAATTAATTATTCATGGATTTCCTTTTTATGTATTAGCTACCAAATTTGCTAATACTCATTCTATCCCTTTGTGTTATTTTATAATATATCCAGATAATAGTGAAAATATTTCTTTTTGCTTAAGTAAATTTTTTGAAACAACTCACACAGAACCTGAATTTATCATGTCTGACTGTGCACTAAACATTTTCAACGGGATTAGGAATTCATTTCCGGAGTGCAATATCTTTTGGTGCGCGCTACATGTAATACGCGCACTTAAAAAGAATCTCTCAAAGATAAATGATGAAGAGATTAGATCAGAAGTCGAAAAATTTATGAACATTTTATGTTATTATCGTGATTGCACAGAAGAAGATGCTGCAAAAATGTATAAAGAGCACATTATTGATAAAATTCAAGATCAATTGGAATTTAATCAATACTTTACACGTCAGTGGGACATTCATAAACAACAGTGGATAGCTGCTGCCAGACCAAATGAATTAACCGTTGTGAATAACGTTTCTGAATCTTTATTTAAAAAGATAAAATATCACGATTTTGGCTGCGTTAAAAATCAAAGAATTGATATTTTTGTCAAAAATCTTTTAGAAGAAGTTGCACCCAATTACTTTTATCGTATTAAAAACGATTTACTTCAAACAGGTTTTATTCCTTCAATTAGAATTCGCGAGCCTCGATTGACAGATTATAAAACAAAATTGAAAAGAGAAGTTCAATCACGTTTATACCAAGTATTAAATTTTGTTCAGAATCAAGAAGCCAATTTGAATCCATTAAGATTTTTATTGGAAAATGCTGAAGAAAAACTTTCTCAAATAAATGAGAAGATACAAAATTCAATTACATATTTAAGATCGTTTGAAATTCCAAATGAATTGTTAGATACATATATGTTAGAATTTAATGAATTTTGTTATAATTCTCCAGGTTATATTTTAGAACATTTCGAAGAATTTTTGGAGGATTTCAAAGAAAAGAATAATTTAATAGACTAAAAAATTTATTATTTTTATTTATTGTGAAATTTAAATTGTCACTTTTTAAGTGTTACTCCCTATTGAAAGTGTCACTTTTTGGGTGTCACTTTTTCGGAAATTCTTATATACTCAACATGTTCATAGTATATCTTTATACTCTTGTCAGTTAGACTCGGTGCTATGTTCTGAATATTTCTGACTTGCATTTTTAATGGAGATAAAATGAAGCATTTAATACATGACGTAGATGAAGACATGAATGAAAGCAGTGAAAAGCTCAACAGTTCTCTCATTCTTCCTTTCAGTAAGGACTATGAGTTCTGTTCAAATGGTGTTTATTTCTATTGTGGAAAGATGGGGTCAGGTAAGACATTTAATTTAATTCGTCATATACTCATAACAGAGCGTTTAGGAAACGACTCTTACTAAGTTAGTATACATAACAAGGGTACGACGGCA